AATGAAATATTAATTTCTTCTTTTGATTCATCTTTTCAAATTGTCTTTGGTAAATACTAGGTTTCATTTCTATCCTTGAAATTTCCGATATAAAATATGCCTTAAATGTACATTTTTTTTAATGAAATTGATTACTTCATTTTAAAAACATTTACATTTTTAAAACGTGGTAAATATTTGTAAAACCTTTTCCAAGCAACGGCATCAATATGAATCTCAATGAGCCGTAGTTGTGATGAAAGAAACTGTACAAAAATTAATAAAAGTGGAAAAAAACTAAGAAGCATGCAATTTTTTGTTTTTAACTTATTTGTACATCGACCTTCTTGAGTCAAATACGTCCGATTTTGAGCGTTTGGTTGAGCTTACACCACGCTGCAGCACAGTAAAAGCCAAAAACATAAAAGAATAAATTTGAATGCTTTGGAAATCATTAAATTTGATACGGAACCACTATTATATTTACAAAAAGCACATTATATTTTCCAGTAGTACATATTTCTTTTCCATCAGTTAAAAAGGGAATAATCAATGCAGAGAGTGCAAACCTTTCAAAATCATGAATTGAAAAACGCTGACTCCGCGAGTTTAAATATTAGAGCCTAACACAGAGCGGAGCGGCGTGTTAGCAGCGCAGAACGCGCACTGGCGCCTACAAACCTAACGGGATACTTCACGCATTGCGCAACGCGTGAAGTATCCCGTTAGGTTTGTAGGCACCTGTGCAGTTTTGCGTGTGTCTTGATTATTTTAATTTTTTCGAGTTGGTGTGTTTTCGTTCTCACTGATTCAAATTTGGTTTAATTTTTTTTTTTTTTTTCTGAAGAAAATTAATTCAGATTATCTTCAGAAATAAGAATAAAGTTCTATTTTGTCGTTTTTCAGCAATTTTGGGTAAAATTGTGGAGCGGGAGCAAAATGAGGACTGGGTTCGTTTCTCGCTGAACGTTCAGAGCATATACAAGCGAGCGCGGGATTCCCGGCTCAAGCGCGGAGAGACGCAGCTCTGGGTTCACGTCAAGGACCTTGCTTGCAAGTGCCCCAAAATCAAGCAAAACAAGTAAGCACACCCCGTCTTTTTAATACATCATATCGACGCGACGCACAGTGCTGCCTTCTGTGGACAGGAGTCACAAATTCACAACTCGACATCTGCAAATTTTTTGGAGTTTGTCATCTTAAAGATACTTCTGACTCATAATGATGGTTCATTTTCAAATTCAAAATTACTTCAAAAGGTATAAAGTGGGCGGGAAATGGGCCGAGAATCACTGGCCACGCGCGGTCCTAAAGCACGCGAAAATCGCCTTCAAAACGACAAAAATGTAACCCTACGATTTCTACGTCTGATCAGTTACCGCTCATTATGGATCGTATTCTATACACCAAACAGGTGGGATTGTATCGATATCGATTGGTTCAACATGCGATTGAGTAATCTGAGGGAACGGGTTCTTTTGTGATAGATTTTTGAATCTTATGAATACAAAATGACAATGAAAAGTGAAATTGTCTGGAATTTTCTCATTTGCAGCTTTTCCAACTTGAATCCTAAAATTTTTGTTTGCGGTTTTGTTCTGTTGTTTTGAACCGAAGATGCATCGAACCACCATCGAATCCGATCTATTTAAAGGACCCAGTTTTAAAATACCTCATCTGGCAGGAGCTCTTTACTTTAGCTTTTTAATGATAACTATTATAATCCCGCTGTCTTGAGATTGCACACTCGCAGTTTTGAAGGGGATTTTTGAGCTAATGTCAGAGGTATAAGTTATGAATGGGGATTCGTATTTATTTGTGAACTATTTCCAGGTTGTACTTGATCCTGGGGAAGGAGGAAGAGGGCTGGAAGAGCCATCCAGGGCTCACGATGACGGAGCGCGCTATCGTCATAGAGTGGAAGGACGAATGGCACAACCGGATGAAGAGATTCCAGAAGCGGGCTGCGCAGTGCGGCTAATTCCAACGACCATCAACATCTCTCCAGGTAGAGCATTTCATTTTCTCTACACTAATCTAAAAAAAAGGAAAACCGGCGATTGAATGCGCTCCGTTTATTGCAGCCACTATTGCCGGGCTAAGTAAAATCGCAGTATAAGTATTCGAATGTTGCCAAATTTCTGCTTTGAAGATACTCATTTTTGAAGATACTCATTTTTGAAGAAATTTATGATTATTACACCTTAAAAAGACCTATTTGATCAAATTATGAACGGAATCCTCAGAAAAATTGTAGAAGAAATATTCACAAATTTTCCTGAAAACTCGTGGTTTGTCGAAGGAAATTTGGCAGCGCCCGATGGCTCATACGGGGCTCTTACTTATCACAGTAGAATTGAAAACTGTTAAAACTGGCTTTAGAGTACCTATAACGGGACAGTATTTTACAAATGAGTCGTAAAAATCTTCGACAAGTAACGAGAACTTCCTCCTCGTTTAATGCAATCCTAAAGTTTTCGGTCCAGGTAACTGTGGTTTTAGATCCTAGGAACCGAACTTCAGCTCAAATAACGGAAGTCTTCTGCAAAGAATATTGCTGTGCTGAAGAAAAATGCCGTATGAGTACTCAAATGTTGTCGACTCGCTTTAATAAAACATTTAATTTTGAAGAAAGTTATGCATTTTTTTCTTGAAATTTCTACACATACTAGATTTAATTACGAACAAAATTCCCCGCGAATTCGGAAGAAAGCTATTTAAAAAAATGTCGAAAAATTCGTGATTTGTCTAAGGAAATTTGGAAACGTCTGAAGGCTCATGCGGTGCTCTTCCTTAAAACTATAGAATACGAGTCTTGGTATGGCTCACATTAATTCGGTTACCTGAACTGAAATTTGGTTGTCATGACGGAACCCTTCAGTTTTCCAAATGCATAAACCGAAGTTTTTTCAACCGTGTGCGTCTACTGACGCCCCACCTATACTTTGAATTTTTTTAGAGAGACGATATTCAAATAAACTTGATAAAATATAAATTTTAATTTTTTTGGAAAGTAGTGAGCATAATTTCACCGGCAAATAAAGACACTTTTGCAGCGTATGCAATCTGGCATCACGTTTAAGTAAATAACGGCATGAACGCGGGTTGCAAATGCATCAGCTTTTAAAAAATCTAACTTTGATCAAAAATGTCAAACCATTTCACCAAATTAAGAGTGCAATATAAGAACAAAACCGATTATTCGAGGAAAGAATTGGAAAACTTCAGTTCGCGATTTGACAGTGCATCCGAAAGCGGGAATGCAGCGAAGAAAGGTTGTCACAGTGAAATGAAGTTTACTTGCGCATACCTAGACCAATTTTAAAAAATGTAGGCTTGTTTTCAAGCTGAAAGTTTTCTCAACCCCTAATTTTTTTTTACAGATTTGATTCATGTCTTTCCATTCGGAGGATATGGGATATAAAACGTATTCTGTCACTTTTTTGAGAGAGACTTAAACGCAGCGTCACAAAAAAAGGAATGGAAAAAAAACACTACATCGATGAAAATATTCTCGTTGTTTTTTTTTTTTTTTTTTTTTTTTTTTTTTTTTTTTTTTTT